CCATATTTTTCATGGTTGAGCAGGTACCCGCGCTTCGTTGTTTGCAGGGGTGAATGGTGGATGATTTCACAAGCTGTCCACATATACGGGCACAACTAACCTTCTTGTCAGTTGAAAAACGCAGTAGTTTTACATTTCCTGCACATTGGGGCCATGGTATTTGTGACCAAGGAAAGAAACAGTAAAGCATATACTGAGAATGCGATAGTGAAAGAGAAGTAAGCAAGGGAGGTATATATAAAACAAAAGCAGGGTGCACATGATTATATATCTCTGAACATCTCAGGAGGACCTACTAAATTATCAAAAATATGTCTGATTGATCAAGAATAATGCAATAATGGGTTGGTAACACAAACGTCTCAAATAGTCGAATCTAAATATCCCATCCAAACACACCAGCTATGTCAGTTACGTTGTAGAGGAAGTGAATAATACCACCAGAAATCTTCCTTGCATAGGACGAAAAACTGAAAGCACAAGCCACATGGAACACACATTTAGAGGTCTAGACATATTGCACTTTACTAAACTGAGGAGCAGTGGGAACCTGTTTGCGCTGACGATGTGTATTAGGTAGGATGAAAACGGATCGGATACGAACGGATATCACTCATATTATATTTGTTTTTATATTTCTGTTCGGATTCGGATTCGGACACGGATAGCGTTCGGATACATATACGAATACGGATTGACTCGGTTACGGATACGAATAATGAGTATCGAATACGGTATGAATCGGATTCGGAGAAGGTCGGATACAAATATCTATTCGAATATTGAGTAAAAGCAGCATATATATATATATATATATATATATATATATATATATATATATATATATATATATATATATATATATATATATATATATATATATATATCATACGTGCGCAAACCATTACACCACTCTATGAGTCCATAATCCATCTAGATTAAGCCGAAAGACTAAAGAGTAAAGAGTAAAGCAACAAATAAGATAAAGATACAGATACATCATACATCAAACATCATACAAGCATCAATCTTCGCTGCATGAGTAGAAATAGCCAAGCTCATGGCTTCATGGGTCTCATAGAGTTATGGTCATGGATTCAAGATCTACAATCCTTATATAGGCCATTTTTTTTATTTGAGAAAGTTTGAACAAAATGTAGTTCAAATTTCACAAGTGTGTGACATAGTTTTAGAAAGTCTGTATGAGATTCAAAATTTGTGACTAGTGTTTGATAAAACTTTCTCAAATGAGAAAATGAGCTATGTAACAATTGTAGATCTTGCTGAGATGATCAAACTTGGTATTCAGAGTTTTTTCATCTGAGGTCATTTAGTGTCTCATTTGAGCAAGTTTGACCAAGTCAAATTTGGTCAAATAAAAAAACAACACTTTGACTCTAGTATTATGAACTCTAAATGACTTCAAATTAAAAAGTTTTGAATACCAAGTTTGTTCAACTCATCAAGATCTACAATTGTTGTTTTGGTCAACTTTCCATTTGAGATAGTTTGGATGGTTCAAATTTGTGATTTTTAAATTTTGATGCTTACAAACTAGTTTCCGGAACCCTAGATTGTCTCAAATTGAAAAGTTTTGAATACCAATTTTGTTCAGCTCATCAAGATCTACAATCCTTATATAGACTATTTTTTCATTTGAGAAAGTTTGAACAAAATATAGTTCAAATTTCACAAGTATGTGACATAGTTTCAGAAAAGTCTATATGAGATTCAAGAATTTGTGACTAGTGTTTGATAAAAATTTCTCAAATGGGAAAATGAGCTATGTAACAATTGTATATATTACTGAGATGATCAAACTTGGTATTCAGAGTTTTTTCATCTGAGGTCATTTAGTATCTCATTTGAGCAAGTTTGACCAAGTCAAATTTGGTCAAATGAAAAAACAACACTTTGACTCTAGTATTATGAACTCTAAATGACTTCAAATTGAAAAGTTTTGAATACCAAGTTTGTTCAACTCATCAAGATCTACAATTGTTGTTTTGGTCAACTTTCCATTTGAGATAGTTTGGATGGTTCAAATTTGTGATTTTTAAATTTCGACGTTTACAAACTAGTTTTCGGAACCCTAGATTGTCTCAAATTGAAAAGTTTTGAATACCAAATTTGTTCATCTCATCAATATCTACAATCCTTATATAGGCCATTTTTTCATTTGAGAAAGTTTGAACAAAATATAGTTCAAATTTCACAAGTGTGTGACATAGTTTCAGAAAGTCTATATGAGATTCAAGAATTTGTGACTAGTGTTTGATAAAACTTTCTCAAATGGGAAAATGAGCTATGTAACAATTGTAGATCTTGCTGAGATGATCAAACTTGGTATTCAAAGTTTTTTCATCTGAGGTCATTTAGTGTCTCATTTAAGCAAGTTTGACCATGTCAAATTTGGTCAAATGAAAAAACAACACTTTGACTCTAGTATTATGAACCCTAAATGACTTCAAATTGAAAAGTTTTGAATACCAAGTTTGTTGTTTTGGTCAACTTTCCATTTAAAATAGTTTGGATGGTTCAAATTTATGATTTTTAAATTTTGACGCCTATAAACTAGTTTTCTATTTGAGAAAGTTTGGACGGTTTAAATTTTGAAGCACTAAATGATTTCAAACGAAAAAGTTGTAAACAACAAAGTTTCATAACTTTTTGAGATCTACAATTTTTATTTTGATCATTTCTCCATTCAAGGTCGTTTGAATAATATCCGGATAATATCCGTTTGAAAATATCCGGATATATCCGATACTTAACCGGATTATCCGATATCCGCCGGATATCGATGATATTACATCCGTATTTGATCCGCCTAAGATATCCGTTTTATTATCCGTATCCGAAAAAAATTACGGATATCCGAGTAACTATCCAGATAAGTGTTCATATTTGTTCGGTCGAACGGACGGTCGAATAAATATCCGTACCGTTTTCATCCATAGTATTAGGTGCTGATGTCTCAGCAGATTTTGGCATCACGCATGTTGGGTGCTGTACAAAGCATAAGAACGATTTCAACTGTAATCCATGATGTAATACATTGTCGAAATTAAATTCCATGTATAGAGGCTGCCACTCCGATGTAAAATTGGGCAACTTTGCAATACACCAATCAAATGAACACCAAAGAGAGCTAGGCGAGGAGGTAAAAATCAAACAGGTTTTCTGGCCAATAATTTCTTGTAGAGCTCATATCCACCTTTCCAACGGTCACAAGCGCCCGCGAGTGGCTATGGGAGCCGCATGCCCCCTTCCTTCTCACTCTCTCGTTCATTCTTTCTTCGAAGAACACTTTGAAGAAGCTCTTGCTCTCTCCCTCAAACTCCCACACACACTCTCTCTTGCTCAATTCCCCGTCTTTGTGAGTGAGATTGGAGTCAGTTCTTCGTGGATTTCGACTCCGGGAGTAACATCCATCTCTTGAGCACTTGTGGCACCCGTCGGTGATTTGATTTTCGCTCTACTACTCTTGGTTTCTTGAACCCTAGCCGGCTAGGTGTTGCCCAGTGACGCCCTTAATTCGTGCTTGTAAGGGCGCCCGGCAAGTTTGTATTACCTTTTGATTCTAGTGGAAATCCCGGCTTGATCTTTGTGGTCGCTTGGGAAGAGGGGAGTTGAAAGAGACTCTAAGGATCTTTGTGGTCGCCTCAACAACGGGGACGTAGGCACAACTTTGTGGTGTGTCCAAACCTCGGGATAAATCCTTGTGTCTCTGTGTGCTTTGACTGGTGATTGCATTATTTGTTGTGGTGGCAAGATATATATTGTGTGTAGGTGGAGGAGCAAGCAAAGGCGTGAATTCACTTAGTACAACTACTCCATACGTGTGGTGAACTCAATTTAGTATTTGGGCATTTCAATTAGTTGGTTCACTATTCTCTGGGATTCAGAAATTTGGACAAGTCCATAAATTCCGCTTGGGATCGAAAATTCCGATACCCATGATTTAATCCGCTGCAAAAAGTTTATGAATTTCAGGAAACGCCTATTCACCCCCTCTAGGCATTTTGATCCTTTCAGCCCCCAAGGTGAGGAGGGTCAACCCTAGGTCGTCGCCTCGCCGGTTCCGAGGATAGTTTTTTGAATTTGGTGGTCGGAATTAAGTGGGTTCAATCATATGTCGATCTAACATTTTCCATATATCTTGTGGGCTCTTTTCTGAATTTGGTGCTCAGAATTCATAGGAAGGTTAACCGAAAGAAGTGCAACCAAATATAAGGTAAATGTAAACAATGTAATTGAAAGCATGCAGTCTAAAGGGATAAAGTTTATGACCCCTCTGAAAATTAGTTCTGAAGAAAGGGCAGGTGAAGAATGGAATTACCTTATGTGCTACAGAAGGTTAGATCATGGAAACACAAAATTACGACACGGCTGGTCATTGTAAAAATGGTGCGGCAACACCCGCCTTGTGTTTTCTAGTTTGAAATGAAGAAAGTATCATATGTGAAGCACTCTTGTATCTATCAAAAAAAACTAAAGAATAGAACACCTTCTCGGATAATTCGACGTTTAATTTTCGTTAAAATTATGCCTTATTAAATGACTTAAAAAATAGAGAAATATACTAAAAGTACATTTTAAGTCAAGCATGCTGTAGACTTGTTTCGAGATGAATGCGGTCACAGACATGTCACTCATTTTGAATTGTTATCATATCTTTGTCTTTTACGTGTCCCTAAGTCCTGACATATACTCCCTTTCTTCCAAAGTAAACGCACTTCTCGAGAAGTCAAATTTTTTAAACTTTGACTAAATTTATCCAAAAATAGATTAATATTTATGATATATAACAAATATCATTAGATTAAGCATATAGTACACTTCCTTTATAAATTTATTTGAAGATATAAATATTGATAATATTTTTTATATTTTCAATTAAACTTAAAAAAGTTTGATTCCTCGAAACGTGAGATGTGTATTTATTTTAGAACAAAGACTAACTATGCTATCATTTAATGTTTCATGGCCGCGACAGTTCATCTGCAAAAGTGTACGAACGCAGCCACAAGCAAACCAGCCTTCAGCTTGGCACTCCACGGTATGCCATAGCTTCCCTTGCCCACAATTCCTGTCACAAATGGCCAGAAACATAGCAGCAGCCAGCTACAGCACACGAATTCCCCAACACCCGGGCCACCGTCTTCAACCGCTCCGGCAACCACCCGCCATACTCCAACAGCTATGGCGACAATGTTCAAGATTGCAATTGCTGTCGCAGGGACGAACACCGGTGACGAATCAAAGGTGAACCGCCAAAGGTCAGCCTCGTCTGTACCACAATCGCCACCGGACGTGCTCTTGTCCTTGCGAGTGACCTCGAACACTGTATCAGAGAGCCCTATAGTCTTAAGTAGCACGGTGAGGAACGCGAGGAGCCAAGCGGAGGATGAGATGATCCGCTGCATCCTTTGGTTGTTCCACCAGGCACGAGCTGAGAGCCGGCAATCCATGTACTCCATGAAGTTGTATGTGTTGTAACTCAGGAATAGGGCTAACGGGATGCTGAAACCTGATTCTGATGGCTGCACAAGAGCATAGAGTTCAGATAGAACCGTGAAGCCAGAACTGTTCACTGCATCGAGACCTGTTCAAGCCTCCTCTAGTCTAGTGGTACAAACTTCAAACGAAGAATAAACTTTTTTATATATGAATCTGCAGTGGGAAGAAAAAGGAAAAAAAACTGTAGTTAGAAACACTATACCTTTGGCAGAAAAGAGTGGTTTGCAAGAAGGCAGTAAGGTCCCAGCAGCGAATAGCAGAGCTCAAAAGGTGCCCTCAGCGGCCACACGTCGATGACCAGGTAGGCAAGGCATTGCCGGAATTGCAAGCGCCTGCAGATGGAGAGAAGTATTGGGTTGTTCCGGCTCAGGAGTATCTCAAAGAGGCCTGTCGCCCATCTCTTGTACTGGGTTAGGCTGGCTGGCCCACCCGTCGGTGCGCTGCCGAGGAACGCCGGCGGATTGGTGTTCAGAAGTGCTGATTTCCAGCCAGCAGCATGGATCCGCTGCCCGGTCAGAATGTCCTCAGTCGTTGATCCATAAACCCAGCCAATCTGCAGATACATTATTGTGAAGCAATGTACAGTAGCAAAATCTACAAAGATGTGTGTCTACACTATAGTTACTTTGTAAAGTTGTAATTTGAACTAACAGTGCTGATTGCTAAATACCTCCTGTCCCCAACATGTGCTGGTCTCATAGCTGCAGGCAGACACTTCTTTTGCCACTTCGATGCGACTTGATAAATCTACAGTTGGTGCTGGGAGCATGTCTCCGGATATGATGCTCCAAGCTGATTCGATTAGTTCTTTTTGATTGCCAAGCTTCACTTGCAGTTGCAGCTCCTCGCTATATGGTGAGCCTGACAAATAATTTTCTAATTACACCAACTCATGTAATGGTATAAAATGAACCGAAATACATTGGGGTTTGCAGTCACTTCTGAGTGCTGATAGTTGCATATCAGTTTATGCTCAGAATGCACCTTTTATCCTTTGTTTGACTTGTCTGGTGATGAAGTCTGGTGGCACGCCATAAATGACTTTCCTTCGGTGAAAGCAACCCGTCCCGTTATAATAAATTCCTTGAAGTCCAGCAAATCCATACCCAAGCTTCTAAACTCATCAGCACAGAAACGATAGCCAGTAGCAACTGACATTAGAGCCAACAATAATAGAAGAGCTAAGTCATAGAATATTTTATTGAGTAAGAAAGAGATAGAATAATAAGTTGCTCTTCATGAAGAGCTAAGCTCATACTCCTTTTTATGATGTATGTATCTATGCTTACAGGGTTTTGCTAGGGTACATCTATTACCTCTTAGGAGGTAAGAGTTTGAATAAATCACAACCGTTGAATTTTAGAATATATTAGACAATTAAATAATCAAATAATTAGGAAAAAAATGTTGGCTATATCTGTGCGCTGATTTCCTTGCCATATCTGATATAGGAGCATGCACGATAGTTATGGCACGTATGTACAAGATTTATATGTGTATCTGTATGATTATCTCGTGTAATACTACATGCTTCTGGGTATGTGCAACTAATCACTATGTAGCGAAATATATAATGCAACTATATCACGTATATTTTTATATATATACGGTTGTGATACATACACCTATCACGTTACAACATTATATATATATAAATAACTATAATGATAGGGTTTTATATTTATTTCTTTTGACAAATTTGTCACGTACAAAATGTTTTGATTATGTTACGAGTTCGAGTCGCGGTCTCCTCGCATTGCACAGACGAGAGTAAGGCTTGTCATTGACACCCTTCCCCAGACCCTGCACAGAGCGGGAGCTCTCTGCACTGGGTACACCCTTTACGTGCATGTTTTTTTTTCTTGACAATACAGGTTCGGCTTTGTTCACATTAAGAAATGTTAAAAAGGAAGTCTCCATAGATGCCAAGGCCGAATAATACAAAATAATGCTAATCAAGTTAGTATGTCATATCCAAAGTTGCAAAATAAAAAAGATTTACCATATCTAATAAATCAGCATGCATCAATTAGATCTTGAAAAATATTTTTATATCTAAAATTTCCTTATTTCACATATTATCTCTTAGGAAGTAATAGATGATATCAACCCTCCGATCCAATTAAATAAGCGGCTCACAGTTACTTGGGGGTACCACAGCAAGGCCCATGCTTACATATTTTTATAATAACAATGTTGGGTTACTTTGTCTTTATCCTTTTTAAATTCATATGAGCTAACAAGTTGATTCTATTGTTGAGGGTGCCCTTAGTGTTCAGTAATCAGTACCGCATTTACAACGTGAGGTGCAATGTCTCGGATGAACCAGCTTATAGCTTTTTATAAGCTGGGTGGTTGGATAAAATGAGCTATAAACTAGTCTGGTTGTTTGAACTAGCTAGAGTTTTGTCTAAACATGGCCAAGACTTCTTCGGTTTGGGTGCATGTAATCTGTTGGATAGTTAGTGTTTGAATTGCGATCCTCCTATTTCTAAGCAAATTGTTAGACATACCTCCGTACCAAAAAAGATATAATTCTTTGGTTGAGTTGGGTTAGTGTGATTTGGACTAACCAAGTTGTCTAGTTGGCATGTGCTGTGTGCAACATGTCTCTTTGGCTTATGAATGTACAGGTGTTGGGTGCATCGAGTTGGTCGATAAACGATGGAGAAAGTCAAGTAAGGAGTCCATCAACGATGGACCGAGGACGGTGAAGAACGGATATGAAAGGCTTGGACCGAAGAATCCACAGGGCCGAGGACGAACCATATAGGTGGCTCGTATTGGGAACATGGAAGAGCAAGAGTACATGAGTGATAAAGACAATGGTAGCCAGAGTGAAGGTCGGGGTTCGACCGAGTCAAGGCAAGGCATCACGAGTACTTGCTGGACCTCCGGGCAAAGGGCATGAAGAACACGTATCGACATCGAGGGGTTGAGTACCAGCTACACGACCGCTCGTGGTCATCTGATACTTTGAAAATGGTCTGGACCATTTTGCCCCCAGTGGTCGAGTGGTTCATGTCTAAATGTAGGGACATTTTTTATATATGTGTAATAGCCCTATAAATAGTAGAAGTGACTGCCCAACACATCCGGTCCTTCCACTCCACCCCTTCCATTTTCTAGGGCTAGAGAGAGATAGGCACCTCTTAGTCTTTTTCTTAATATGAGTCGGAGGATGTTGGGAGCTAGGATGATCGGATGTATAGGTAAATTCCTAGTTTCTTAGTTCATAAGAAATCCGTGTGGAATTCACCTATCTTGTCTACTCCTTTTGAGTCCCTTGTTTTGGCCCTTTTGTAATCTTTCCTCACTTTTCTTTGGTGATTTTTGGAATTGTGTGTGATCTGATTTCCTGAGTGATTTTGGTCCTTGGAACTTGATCAAAGTATGGATTGAAGCTCAACTCTCATCTCTCAAGTTGCTCTCCCTCTAAAAATTGTCGTTTCTAGCCTCTTTTGGTGTTTCTTGAAGACCTTTGCTTCGAGGTTTTCTGAGATGTTCTTGATTGATGTTTAGGTGCTATGAGACCTTAGGAACACACATCGACTCTGCCTTCAACAAATTTTCCATGAGCACCTATAAACTATCGCTTTGAGGTTTCAGACAAACCCCAATTTGAGAGAGGGATTTCAAAATTCCTCGCAAAACTTTGATCTTTTTATTTCAAAATTCCTAGCCAAACTTTGATATTTTTTGCAAGATCTCTTGGGGATAGCTTCACCATGAGTTAAAGGCGTGTGCAAAAATTCGTAATTTTTGGAGCTCTTTTGGATTAGTTATGGATTTTGCTTGCAGAGCATTTTGAAGTTTTCTGAAAAAACTAGCCTAGTTGGTTTTCAAATCTGGCTAAGCCGGTTTTTTGAGGCTTGTCCCAAATGAGGTGATTTTTTATGGAGTTTTCTTTACTATGTTATAAACCTGTCCACCTAAATTTCATGATTTTGGAAGGTTGTTTGTTTGGGCTTCCATATTTTTCTTTCAAGCTGGTTTTGGTTGAAAGTGTTAGAATTTGTCCTTTTTCACCTCTGACTGTTTCCATATTTTTCTAGTCTAGTTTCTAGGGTCTGTAGGTTCGTTGGCTAACACTAATCGAGAGATTTGTGTGTTGTCTCGGGATATATGACGCTCTTTCATTCTTAAAAAGAGAAAAAATTCAGACTCCTGTTCCCCCCTCTGGTCGTTTATTCCTGCCATTCAAGGTAGATTACAAAAAAGTATGATAAATTCATAATTATTAATATTTTTTATATAAATTTAATTAAATTTTATTTTAAGATTGCATGTTTTTTTCAGGACGGGGAACGGGGGAAGTACAATTCTGGTACCTTGTACATGACTTCCGTCTGGTTTCCAAAAGGATCATCCTTGAGGGCATCATAGAATATCTGTGGTGCCTGAACAAATCCGCTGTGGACCTCGTTGTCGAATCCCAACAGGAGGCACATTGCATGGAGAATGACTTGTGGGTTGTTTGCAAACATGTCGCAGTCCACGTTCAGCATGATTGGCGCATTGGTCAGCACAGCGGAAACCCTTGTCTGCACACCGATTAAGGTCAACAATCACTGATCAGCTGTATTCTGCTAATGTTAATGCAACAGACACTTCTCTGAACTTTGTGTCTCACTAATCAGAATTCACTTATTCTGCTGAGGAGCGTGAGAAACACTAACCAAGACATTCATGGCCCCGGCCTTGAAGTGGTGGTGAAATCTGAGTCTCTTTTCTCTTGAGATGTATACCAGACTTGGGAACCCTTCTCCTGTCGTGCTCTTGCTGTTGTCCCACAGGACCTGAAATCAGCAAAAATGAACACCAAACCAGTAAAAGTTTTGCAGACGATATGTATTTCACAAAATATTTTTACAACAATTGTTAATCTAGTTACTCATAAAAATAGCGCAGCTACATCTCAACCTTAATTACGGTTGGGTGATTATTTCGCTCCACACCCAAGAACTCAGTGAACTCACTGTCACTCTGCACAAGAGTGGCCTCCTCTGCTTTCTCGACCTGACTCACCAACTTCTCGTACTCGTTCTGCAACACGAACAAGAAAACGAGCATATATAAGCAGCCATAAGATCAGACACGCCAGTGCCAGGATCACGGACGAAAAAACGAGACGGCTCACCTTTATGACCGTCCATTCTTGCAAGAACTCTTGGCCGGCGGCGCGGGGCTCTGAGGCGGAGGAGAAGTAGACCAAGGGAGCTCTGACTCCGACTCCGTGCCTCCTGCAGAACGGCACCCAGAGCCTCGCGAACGCGGCAGCCTCGCGCAGCGCGTAGCAGGTCAACGGCGAGCAGCCGTCGTCCGAGACGTAGCACGCCAGCTTGCCGGCCGGGTAGTCCACGGCAAGAAGCGAGAGCACGGTGTTCACGGTCACAACCGGTGGCTCCAGCTCCGGGTCCGCCGTGGTCACGAACACATCTACCGCCAGGAGCTCGTCGGCCCTGGTAGAAATCAGAAGGTGTGAGGACAACAAAAAAAAGGACGGGACGTTCCGGTCTTTCGGATACAAATGAACAGCGACGGCGCGTTGGGCCTTGGGCGGCTGCTACCTTTCGGGGAGGCGGTCGGGGTACGTCTCGAACCGGACGGGGTTCCACTTGCAGTTCATGTTGAGCAGCCACAGGAGCGTGAACCACGCCTCGCAGAAGAGCGCCGCGACGGCGAGCCAGCAGCGCGGCGTCGTCGTGCCGGCGCCGCCCAGCACAGAGGTGGCACGGTGGGCGAGGAGGGCGAGGAGCAGGGAGAGGACGACGAGGTCGGCTAGCTTCCACGCCGTGCGGCGGATCGGGACCCTCTCCTGCAGCTTCTTGGCTCTCCCCATGGCCACTGCCGCAGCTCCAGAGGCAAGCACCGAAGCAAGCACCGAAGCAGCACCGCGAGTGGTAAGATGCCCCGGTTCAATTTTATTATGCAGATATAATTTTATAGACTAACAGGGCATCGTAAGATGCCCCGGTTCAATTTATTTATTAAACGAAACCGAGCCATAAAGCTTACATGGTGATAGAAACAAGGAATAAATTATCTCAAAGATTGTTATTATGTTTTATGCTAACAGAAATACACGTGCATTGCAGAGTGTCAAGACTATATATAGATATATTATCACTCAATAGTATGTCTATGGGTGTGACCAAATGTGAATTTTTAAAGTTCTTACCTAGTTTTTTATGTTTCGATGCTATATTATGGACAATTAACTGAGTAATAAAATTACTTTAATTCTATATTAGAATGCTAGTTTAGCTAGCAATATTTTAGGTAGTTCAAGGTTGGTTTATCGAAACCCTAACTCTTTGCGGTCCATTTCTGCCTCTGTTCCTAATCTAAGGGTGAGTCTATGCTCCATAAACTCTACCATAGAGCTCAAAAAAAAAACATGGAGTTTGTGGAGCATTCCTTTAGGTACTCTCATAACTTAATTTTTTTTTCCTCAAGCAGAGTGAGTGGAGCTAAACCTGTTTAGCTAAAAAACGTGGAGCGAAGCTGAAAAACGTGAAGTGGAGCAGTCCCAACGCACATAGTAAAAACTATGAATCTAGAAAAACAAAAACACCTTATAATTAGGAATGAACAGAGTATTGTTCTTTTGAGCAAAGAGGAGGGGGCAAAGACCATGGTTTTTTTAATCCTTTTTTATTCAATATTTCAATAATAATTGCTCCTAATTTTTTTTTGCAGATCTGACCCTTTTGGTCACACCAATGGCGCCACATGCATTGGCACGGCAACATCCGCCACGTCAGACGGCGTTTCCGACGTGGAAAAACGTTGTCACGCCACTCCCGCTGGCGTGACAGTATTGTTCTATCGCACCACCGGAAGTAGCGTGATAAGACCGAACTTTTAAAAAATCATAACTCTTCGATACGACGTCAGATGAAGATAAAATTTATATGAAAATTGTAGCTCTTGATGAGATCTACAACTTTCTAGTTTTGAGTTTTTTTTTCATTTGAGAACTTTAAAATGCTCAAAAAAATAATATTCAGGAGTATAATAATCGCGTACTAGTGCTTGTCGTATTACACAAATAATATCTTTTTTGTATGGTGTCAAATGAAAATACTTTTTACATCAAAGTTGTAGTTCTCAATGAGATATACAATTTTATAGTTTTGAGTTTTCACATTTGGAATCGTTAAGATGCTCAAAAAAATAATATAAAATTTCAGTAGAATAATAATCGCGTACTCGCGCTTGTCGCATTAGAAAAATAATATCGTTTTTTATCGTGTCAAATGAAGTTACTTTTTATATCCAAGTTGGATGCTCTCAATAAAATGTACAACTTTCATTTATATAAAAGTTGAAAAATTATATTATTTTTTGAGTATCTTAACGTTCTTAAATGAAAAAAAAATAAAACTAGAAAGTTGTAGATCTCATCGAGGGCTACAAATTTCATATAAATTCTAACTTCATCTGACGTTGTATCAAAGAGTTATGATTTTTCAAAAATTTTATCTGGTTATGCTACTTTCAGTGACGCGACAAAACAATACATGCCAGCGGGAACAGCGTGACATCGTTTTTCGCATAGAAAACGGCGTCTAACGTGACAAATATACCTGCCGCTGGATATTCAATCCCCATATTCAAATCCACACCCGCATTAATTGGTGAGGGTATGGGTTGAAATAAAATAACCATTTTGATTTGGGTGTGGGTAGGATAATATCCACCTTATCCATTCAGTATTCATTTAGCCGTTCATGTACTCCACCTTCAGGCACGTGCAAACTCCCACACAGTATGCACCGCGCTAATGCCCTGCTGCTGCTAATGCTTGTGCTACTTCCCTCTCTTATCCGTTGGGTATTCAAAATCCATCGGGTACTATCCACTTTAGTTCGCATGGGTGTGGACAATATGCGGGTGTGGGCATGGATGCCCCGTGCCCTCCCCAACGGCAGCTACAGTGCAGATGTTACGCCAATGCCCGTGGCGCGATAATGTTATTTGGTCACACAGCCAGCGGCACTGGTGTGACCAAAAGGATCAATTTTTTAGAAACAATTATTATTAAAATATTGAATAAAAAAGGATTAAAAAATAAAAATTCTTCCACCATAGGGTAAATATACTATAAAAGGAGAAAAAAAAAGATAAAACAACAAAAATGTTTATTAACATAACATAAAGAGAAACAAAATTAAAGGTCACAAAGTTCTCAAACCATGAAAAAAATCTTAGAAAATCCTTGTGCATTGAGAAAGGTAGGAGACGAGAGCCAGGATTTATCATGATGATCCTTAATGATCTCCATGAGAAAAAGGTGAGAGCCAGGATTTATGATGACAATCCTCAAAGATAATGAATGGAAAAATAGTATGTCGTAATAAAATCAAGTTTTTTAATATTTTTTTGATTTTCTGGGTCTAGTAAATAAATGGATAGATCCTGTCTCTAACTCTGGTAAAATAAAAAAGCAACGAGCTTAACTTCTTAATTGGTTAATTGGAAGGATTCCCGATCTAATTAGATGTTAAAAATAGAAAAAAATATTAATTGTTCTTGATTATGGATTGAAAAGGGATGTTATGAATTGAATATACGACGTTAATGCTTTGCATCAAGGTTCGTAAAGCAATACAGTTTGATTTATCTTTTTTCTCACAATATACTTCTTGAGATTAAGACTTCACCGTTAGCTAGTCGAAAAGGACAAAAGGTTCGACACCAAAATTTGTTTTTTAGCAAAGTCACCAAAATTTGTTGATACCTACCTGATGGCGACGTATATGTATCCGCAATTCCGGATGTGTGTTTGTATCCTTTTTTTTTCTCAGTGTACTCCGTGTCCTCTTAAGATTAAGACTTTACCATTAACCAATCGAAAAGAACTTAGATAGAGAAAGATTCGTCACAAAAATGTGTGGTGATACCTACCTATGGCGACGTATATGATTCCGCATATGTGTGTAGCAGATTGCTATGTAGACCTAAGCATTTTCTAGTCAAGAAGCACATTTTTTTCAGGCCGAAGTATCCACGCTCATCCCACAAGACGTGCCTTTTCGATTTTTTTTTTTTTTTGAAATTGGATGACTTCATATTACTCATGAGCTGAAGATTCTTCAGCAACAATTACATGAATGTGCGCCAGAAGTGAATTGATGATTGTCTCACCTCCTTCGTCACAATTACACCCAACAGCTGTTAATTCATGGGCAACTCTATTACATTCTCTAGGAATTGAGACACAACGAAACGAGCTAAAATTCATAGTCACCAGGAAGTGCAGTTCCTCCACTAGACCACCCACCAATGAGTTTGAGAAGTCCTCAGATTGCAGTGCTTGTTTCACCATCAAAGCATCAGTTTCCAAAATAAGATTGGAAATTCCTTGATCAATTGCCGCTTGGGCACCCTGCAAGCATGCTATAATTTCAGCTTGTAGTGCATTGTAAAGGTACTGCACTCTCCCTCTTCCTGCAGTCACCACATCCCCGTCGTATTCCCTAATCACATATCCCCAACCACCAGTCTTTGTAGTAGAGGAGAACGATGCATCACAATTCAGTTTAAGTTTTCCTTCCGGTGGTTTCAGCCATCGCCCTTTCTCCCTTGGCACTGAAATTTTTGTATCCTTCGTTGTCTGCATCAACTCTCCAATATACAGGCGCACTGATTGGGCAAGCAAAGCAGCACATTTCCTCTGACCCCCCCGTTCTGATGACATTTCTCTCTGTCCACCACATCCAGATGGTGATCAAAATCAACATTTTCTTTTCCGTTCTTATAGATAGAATATACCGAATAACTTCCATAGCTGACTCCTCTGCCAAAAACACACGCTCTTCTTCTAAATTCAGAAAGCACCAAACTTGTTTGACAGTTTTGCATTTGAAAAACAAGTGGCCTCCATCTTCATCAACTCTGCAGCAAACCGGGCAAATAGTGTTCAGCTTAATTCTTCTACGCATCAAATTCATTTTCAAAGGGTGACTGTTATGAGCAAAATCTCCATAGGAAATGTTTGATCTTATTCGGGCAATCCAATTTCCATATTCCGCCCCAAAGTGGATCCACATCCCCACTGCCACTTTGCTGGACATTACTGCGATCTCTGCTACAAATGAAATCCGCCCGACAAACTTTATAGGCACTTCTGACGCTGAAAACACCTTTTAGATCAAAATGCCAGGCCAATACATTTGGACGATTTTCATGCACCGGTAGAGATAGAATTCAATTTGCATCCTCTTCCCATAAAATGTCTGTAACCATTGTTGGGCTTAGTTAGGGCATAGGCCATCCGCTATTTTTAGTGCTAAAAAACTTCTAAATAAACATACTGTACTATGCTTGCGATCCCCCCCCCCCCCCCACACACACACACACCACAACCCAACCCACACACAAACACACACAAGACGTGCCGTTTTTTTAGGTTTTTTTTTTTTTTTTGCGAGACTCAGTTACAGACGCAAACGCTCACATACCACTGAAAGAATAGCGCCGTTAAATTCTGAAATAAATCCAGAAAAATACGAGCATCCATGTCAAGTCGTGGACTTTTTTTTAAACAAAAAACCGTGGGGAAAAAATCCCCCCGGCACCCAAAGAACTGCAATAACTAAAACAAGAACAGTTACAGAGAAAGGTCCACCCAGGGGGTGACCACACCACCAACACACACACAAAGAAAGAAGAAGAAATCAAGAGAGAAAAGAAAAGAAAAACTAACTAACTAAACAGAACTACCTACCAGACTAAACTACCAAAAACAGAACTAAACAAAGGTTACAAGCTATGAAGCCAAGAGCGAACAGAGGAGTGCAGAGAAGGCTTGATTCTGTACAGATGGCTAGTAATTTCTGCCCTGTTCACTTGGTTTATAAGCTGTATTTTTTCAACTAACGAACAATATTTTTCTCTCACAACAAATCAGATAACAGTGCTTTCAACCATGACTTATCAGCCAAGCGAACGGAGCATTCATGTCTGAAAGTAGCTTTCCAGGAGCTCAAACTAGGAGCCTTTCCATCAAAGATAAAATCATTTCGTTCCACCCAAATACAATTTGCTGAGATCATGAATATCTCTATGAAGAAAGAGTGGGGAGAAGCTTCTCTTGCAATAATTAATTTTTGAAAAAGATTAACTGAATCTGTCCAGCTAATACCAAGAGCAAACCATCTACTAATAACAGCTGGACAATCAAAGACTTGAATCCGGATGAGCATGTTTCACCACAAGAGAACCCAACCAGCTACGCTACGCTCTATTCCGTCCATTATTTTTAGTGTGTAATTTAAATATCATATTGTGCTTTGGTTGGGTCAAGATTTTTTAGTGTTTACGTTTCACTATCTAATAATCCCTATCCACTAAGGCTATGTTTGGATACGATCTTCCCCACCGCGCAGTGCGGTACGAGAACCGCGGTTAGGGAGCTGCCATAGTAAAATCGAAGTCCCCGTTGAAGCTCACGGTGGCTGAGTCACGGGCGGTAGAAATAATTGTCGACACCACGAACCGTTTTGTGCAATTCTGCTCGATTCTCACGGCCAGCCGTCGGTAATCGGATTATAATCGTATCCAAACAGGGACGTGGGTCAGATTAGGCAAAAATAGTCAAATCTACTGGTAGGGTAGACCACACTCTAGTATCAGAAGCTTGATTTTGACGCCATTTTGCTTTACCTAGATTGCACAGGTCACGAGAAGCTTGCTATAGGTCCGGCGAGCCAATTCGGCTCGCTTGTCACATAAGGGAATCTGTTGAAAATTCTTGTTTGCAAAAGTCCCTAGACTGCAAGCAAATCAACCAAATGCATCCTATGGCTTCATATCGTGGCTCAGCTAGGCTAGGTAAGTTTTGCTTTGCTCGGAGAACCCTCTTAATAGACACTTAAATATCATTATTCAACAGAGAGGCAGTAGGTAAGATTGTTATTTTGCCAGTAGCGGAGCCGGAAGTTTTCAAAAGTCCGGATGTCCCTCGTTATAAAAAATATTTTTATTTACCTAGAAAAATACATGTTTTTATATAATTTGTATTTCATATATATATAATTTGTTTCCTCTGAACTTCGTTAACGAGCCCGGACAGCCGCTAGGGGAGTCGGGGTGGCCGGGCGGTGCCTCGCTGCCTCCTGCCTCCTGCCTCCGCCCTTTTTCTTTTTTTTTTGAAAACCTCCTCCGCCCCTGATTTCCTCCTGGACCCCTTGCCCTTGGCCCCCCTTGATGACTTGACGGCTGATTAGCCTGAATCTGAGAAGTACGCCTTTCAGGCTCAGTGCTGCTAGTCAGAACCCTCCGCCTCCCCGTACCCCCAACAGCTCCAGGGTCCCAGTGCTCTCGGCCCCCCATGGCGGCGCCGGAACCGGAGGCCAAGCTGGAAGAGGTAACCCCATCTTTCTCCCGCGAGCCGCTACCGGAGTCTGAATCCGACGCCCCTGCCTCCACTGGCCGCGAGCCGCTACCGGAGTCTGAATCCGATGCCCCTGCCTCCAGCCAGGAGCTAAAGCCGTGGGAGCAGCACGCCGCGGTGATCAACCTCCCGCGCTACGACTACCGCGCATCAGGGTCCCTCCTCCTCCGCTCGCACTCTGGCTTCCTCATCACCTGCCCCATCAGTGCGTCCCCTCTCCAATTATAGAGATTATTTTCCCATTGAAGCTTCTGTTGTTGGATTTATTCGTGGATTAATGTCTTAGTAGAATTTAGTTCTGGACTATGGGTGCCCCAAGCTAGTTTCTGTCTTATTTTAGCGTTTGTGTTCGAGTTCCTATGATCGGGGATACATATTGTGAAGACTTAGGCTTTGGTCTATCATACAAAAGCGTTGAACTACGATATTAGACGAATTTTGACATGTTCGCAGTGAAATTTCCATTATGCACTAGTAAGATCCATACTGGTGGGCATAATCAATAAGCATAATGACATACATTGGCCAGTAAGCATTCCCATGATTTCTAGTATCAATTTATAGCCGCCTACATCGCATCGTGTAATGGTCTGAGTCCCAAGAGTTGATACTGTTAAGTAATCAAATTCACTAGTGTCGTCAAAATAAGTTTAGTTGGTTATTGCATGTTTGCAGAACAATCTCAAATAAAAAAAGTGCAATGGGAGATGAGAATTCTACAGGAAGGAATGATAATGTATCATTCACTTGCAGTACCATTTATGAAATTTTGACTACTAAAAAAGAGTTTGATTCAGTATTGATGGCATGTGGGCATTGTTACAAACTTGATGTGCTTTTCATTTTCTTACAGAGCGTGAGAAAAGTGCAACCAAGGAAGCCATTTCCATTCTTGAAGAGGTCATTGCTCATCATGTTGCTCCGTAGTATTTAATTGTCTTTCCCAGTAGATAATTATAGTGCATGAATTCTATCTTAGAGAATGTCGCTGTCTCAATCTGTGTTTTATTTTGCAATATACCAAAATTATGTTGCATTTCATTCACTATTTGATGCATGCTCTCAAACTTACATGTAGAGGAAGCTTTATATTTTCCCACCTAATAGTACTTAACTGTTCCCTCCTCTGTTCATATGGCTTTCTCATGCTATGCTTGAGTGTGTAGTCTTTTTTTTTTTTTACTTCTTCTGAGTTGCACTGTTTGCAACTTCATTCTGTAGTCTTTTCTCCAATGACTGAATAGCTTAGCTATGACTATTAGCACCAGCAGTTTAAGGGACATTTGCAAATTCAGTTTTACATCTTTTGTTTGAAACTCTTTTCAACTCTAGCTTCCACACAGTCAATGTTAAAATATGCTGATGTGAAAGCTTCATTTTGTTTTTTGTTCAGTACATTGGTCATGCAAATTGCTGTGTTTCCGAACACACAGAACCATGTGATGTGGAAAATGCACTGAAGAAAAGAAAACTGTGCTCGGAGGCATCAGGAAGTTTAGAAGAGGCAGTAATGAATGGGAATAGTAATAGTGTTTCAGAATCAATTGGTTAGTATAGGTTATCTGATTGTATCCTTATGCTTAGTTACTTATAGCTATTATAGATCCAGAAAGGCTTTCCGTATGTTATTTTCTGATCTTGTGCACTTCTTGGCGCCATGGTAGGAGGAACTATAAACTCAAGCTCACCCCAGTCCAAGATGAATGACAATGTTGACAGGGCTTCAAATCTCTCACTGGTTAAGCTATCAAGAAGTGGCTTGCTCTTCTTTAAATTTCCTAGTGGAGGCCTTCATGTTGTTGAGATGCTTACAGAAATACTTCATTCACTCAGATCTGGGAAACTCAAATCTCCACAGTAAGGTTCCAACTTCATTGTAAGAACTCATCTTCTGAAGTGCTGACATTAGAAGTTGAGATGCTGCTGCTGCCATTTAGAAATGTCTAAATGACCAGTACTATGCATTATCTAAGTTTTCTGGAACTGAAAAAATAGCCCGTGACACTTCGTCTACAGTACTTTAATGAAAAAGTTGCCAGCCTTGGTTCAGTATTCATTCTGCATTTTTTTTCTTTTCTTAGTGATTCTACACAGCATGCTGTTCTTGCCTATCTTTTTCTGCTTATTGGCTGAATGAGACTAGTGTTGAATGAGACTTATTGGCTAAATGAGGTGTCGATTTGGGGCTAAACATGCCATTATTTATGTTGCTAGATTTTCATTCTAGCAGTTTGATTTGTGCAACCTGTGTTACCACTCTTCTTTTCAATAAAGTTGAACAGCAATACGATTTTCTTTCTTCCGACCAAGTTGCATATGTAAAATACAGGGACACCGCTGATTATAAGCTACTCCTACTTCATACAGTTACAGGCTTAAAGATTTGGTGTTTAGAGTCAGTTTCAGAATCAATCTAAGGTTCTCCTTGGATTGTTAGATTGTTACATCGTCTAAATTAAACTCTGAATTGACAGATGGTGCCACCGCATATTTCCTATTCAAGAAACTTGCATTCTATCAGAAGAAGACCTGCATGCCACTGTGTCAAAGTTATTCCTTGACTTCTCGAGGAGCAAGACTAACAAGGACAAGCCTATAAAAGTAGAAATTGCATCATTTATCTTCGTTTAACCATTTTGTTAATGTGTAATGGAGTCAAATTCATACTATTTTCTACTGCAATGTATTATGCAGCATTTGTATAGATATCCTTGCTATCAGGTCTCATACAATGATTCATGCATTGTTTAAGTTGTCTCCTACATTTTAATGCCAGGCTCTAAGTATCACTTGCTCTATTACCTTCATTATTATGCATCAAAATTACTGCATTCTTTTGTTAATAATCGAAATTTCACTTTTGCACTTAAAGAGCATCACTAGCTGTAGTACACTCTGCACTGTCTCATGAAAACATTTTATACTGAATAAGTTTTGACATATTTTACAGTTTGCGGTTGCCTATAATAGAAGGGGCATCGATGAGACAGAGAAGAACGGTAATGAAGGTTCAAATCAGCAGGCTTTGATGGACAGGGAGCAATGTTTCAAAGTGGTAGCTGCTGCTGTCAAATCCGTTGCTGAGAACTCAGTGGTTGATCTTAGATCTCCTGAGGTAACCTTGACCGACAATTGTAACAGCTTGCATAGTTACTAGATGCTGGTTGGATGACAAACAACATCATACTTGTTAAGATCCAAATTGGAAAACAACAAAGTTTTGAATGCTGACTAGTGAATCTAAGGTCTTATTTTCCATGCCATCATGATGAAAACTGCTATAAGTTTGGTTAGGTGTTGACATCTGACATACTGCAGCTGCAGCATGTTTACTTTCTGTTTCTGGGCATATGTCAGAGAGTCAGAAGACCCTTTCAGATTTCTCTAGCAGCTACTAATCTAACTGTTTGTTCATTGAAATTACCAAACTTAAGACTACCCGCAAATTTTATTATATCTACTTGAAAATATGTACTTGTATTCCTCCGGTTTGCTTATAGTAATATTTCACCTACTGTTCTTTCCCATATGCAATATACATTAGACGATAACTAGACTTTAAGATTTATGTTTCTTTAGAGCAACTCCAAGAATCTCTTTATATCCTTCCGTATTGATAGGAATAGAGACTTTAATGAAAAAAGTGTTATCCAACATCTTCTTTAATTAGATCTCCAAATATTGCTGTCTTCTATTCCTGATTTGTTCCTAGAGATGGCGGAGCTGGTTATCTAGAATGTGCACAAGATATAGAGAAACCATTGGAGGGTTGAAAGAGAGCGATTTTTATTCAAGTCGCTCTCCAAATAAGGATAAAGTGTGAGTTGAAAGATTCTTGGAGATGCTCTTACCTTAACATATACGGGGCGACTAGGACTTTGAGATAATTTATGGGCTATGTCAAGTTTGCTTTTGCATTAATTCTCATTAATATTTTCTAGCTTTATGGTTTGGTAAAGTGAATGACATGTTCCTAATGTCCAGGTTGCGGTACTCGTTGAGATGCTCCCGGTTTCCGGGGTACCTCTTGGATCTTCGGTGGCTGGGGTGTCCGTTCTCCCAGCAGAACTCATCTCGACCAAACCTCGCCTTTGTGTCAGGTCTTTGGTGCTTGATGCAAAAGCAACAAAAAAGAAGTGAAATCCTGTGGTGCCTCTCGTCAACCAGAGTAGCTGTAATGGGAAACTGTGGATGCAGTTTTTCACCTGCCTATTTGTATTTGAGTACCATCACCTTAAGCCTTGTTTTTATCAGGACGTAAAACCATGATCAAGGCGAGTTTTTAACAAGCATAGAAGACACTGGCATGATGCCTTCGAGGCTTCGACAATGTATTATCATCCTTTGCACCCCCCACAAATAGTCGTCTGTCTGCCTTTGGGGAGGTCAATTTGTGTTTCGTAGCAGCATAGCAGAGAGTTCATCCAGTTCTTGCCTTCTTGGAGGTTAGCTTCTCGTCCTTTTTACCAGCGTGCCGAAATGTCAAAACTGGCGGGCCATGATGGTTTCTCCACTGTTTGTACAAAGCATGATGCATGTTGCTGAAGAAACCAGCCTCTGCGACGGCTTTTGTTCCGGCCGCCGTGCTTTTCCCCTGTAATCTACTGTGCCGCTCATCATGGTAATAATTTGTACTTGAGGCGAGATGCCATCAGTTTTCAGGCTTTTGGGGAAGTGGTAAATGGCCGTGTGATTTTGACAAAAGGATTGATGCCGTTTCCTTTTACCCAGCATCAAAGGCGAACACGGAAACTGACGAGTGTATTTTTGGACGAGACGCAGGATGGGATTTGTCAATCCTTGAGCCAGCAGATCAGTAGTCTGCATCAAACTAGCTTTGCTCCTGGCGCTTAGGCTTTTGACAAACACCAGCTCAAACGGAGTAGACAAGGACAACACACGCACGCATATGAGATGACTGATGTTTTAATCATTCTGTTTGTTTCATTTAGCAGGGAGGGTGAGAAGGATATCATGCATACTTGCGTAGTCATGGTTCATGAGTGCATTTGCTTGCATAGTTGTATATACGCATGCCTGAATTGGTCATCTCTGCTGTTAAATCTACGATGAGACATGCCTGATACGAAAATTACAAGAGGCATGCAACATGATCAGACATTGTGCATTAGGCAACCTCAATTTACTTTCTGAAATAACATTGACACATAATCCTTGATTTTAATGCTTGAAAGAAAGAAGAAACATTTTAAGGACATGGAGAATCTCCTTTGTTCAGGAAATCCCTGCAGGTACAGGAGCTGCCAGCCACAGTAAGGGGCAGAATGGGAGGAAGAGTGAGGACAGGCTGACAGGAGCACTGTATTCCTAATAGGGCACCTACATTTGACCTACATGGATCACTCAAAGTGTTCTAAGGGCCTGGTTGGATCTGGGCCGTTAATTATTAGCTGCTAGCAGGAACAAGCCAGCTAACAGCTTTCTATTCGTGGTATCATTACCTCGCTAATCAGCTAAGCGTTATTTGGATCTTCCAGCTAATAGTTAGTACTAGTATTTATACTAGGGAAGTCAATTGCTAGCTTTTTATTAGTTAGGTAGGTCATTTTAAGCTATTAGTTAGGCTGTTAGCTGGGACATTTTGGCTACTTATGTTAAATTTTCTTTTGAGAATTACACAGTATAATGCAGACGTCCACAACACGCACACACACTCACCCCTGAACACACGTATGCAAACCCTATCCGTATAAGCACATCTAAGAACTGAGCCGACAGATTTCGAGATTCACGAAGTCACCACCCCTGAACACACGTACGTAAACCCTATCCGTATGAGCACCTCTAAGAACTGAGCCAGCAAATCTCGAGATTTACGAAGTCACCACCCTTGAACACACGTACGCAAACCCTACCCCTATGAGCACCTCTGAAGAACTGAACTGGCAGATCTCGAGATTCACGAAGTCACCACTTCTGAACACACGTACGCAAACCCTACTTCTATGAGCACATCTGAAGAATTGAGCCGGCAGATCTCAAGATTCACGAAGTCACCACTGGCGTCTTGCTGTCGACAGGGACGTCGCCTACCATAGCGCCGTTAAATCCTGAAATAAATCCAGAAAAATGCGAGCAACCATGCCAAGTTGAGAACTTGAACCCGGATGGACAGGTTACACCACAAAGAACCTAACCAACTGATCTATGACCTGTTCGCTACTTATGCTAATTTTAGCTGCTAACATTTACAACCTAGATCCAAACACCTCCCAAGTTTGTGGGAGGATCTGTCTTAAACAAGGTCCACACTATTTCCATGTTTGAAGCTTCCATTTTGCTGGTCACTTTCGCCAGACAATTTTGCCTTTACCACTAACAAAAAACGGAACATGTGAACTGTCATTTTCTAGACTAGACGACCAATTATGTCAAAGAAAAGCGGGGTCAGAAGACAGACAACGAATCACCGCAACCTGTGGCATGCACGCTACTATTGATATCCAAACGGAACTACATCGGCATGCAATGCATCATGGAACATTGATGTACAAAACTCAGCACGGTGATTAAGCTATGATCCACATATGGACAGGGACAGGTCCAAGTTAACTCTTCTCTGCCTGGCGAATATGCAGCTGCCTGACGGCCCTGAGCATGCACTCAAGCTGGTCGACGACGACAACGGCGGGAGGATGCAGCCGCCTTCTTCACTGGGCCAGGAGACAGCGGCCACAGCTTTTGGGTCGATGGAGGAGGCCGACGGTCGCGACGGTGAACGTCTCCTGGCCGATTCGTCTCTAATCGCAGCAGTGCCACACAAGAAGCGTCCGTTTTCGCACTTGATCTCCTTGGAAGATGGCTGCCTCACCACAGGGCTGAGACGATTCGCTATGGACCTGCCACTCTGTAGAATAAAACACAGCAGCAGTCAGAAGGACCAAGTCGTTAAATTTGTCAAGAAAATAGAAAACAAAATGTACTATCTTTTTTTGTTTCTTATTTATTTACTGCAATAGAATGCAACTAGTTCGTATTTGAATTTGGTCCTGCTTGATTGAGACCGTTTCTTTGCCGTGAAGCACTGAAGCTGCAAGGATCAACAGTGGTCGACAAGGAACTACAGTGTGCTTCATGTGCTTCATGATAATTCAGAAGCAAACGGCCGGTACGCTGGCCTTTGCACCTCCCCTTTTCTCGTCGGCCGGAGCAAAGCACCAGAGAAGCTTTAATGGGCTTGTTCTTTCTGAATCTGCATCTGCATCTGTACTGCACGTCTGCAACATCGCCCGTCATCATGGCAACGCTGCTTGTGCATGCAGCTGCAAGGGTTGGAGTGGAACGGGAACAGATCAAGTGCTGCAAAAGCCCCTTCTTTTGGCATATCATTGTCGACGAGTTCGAAGCAAATGCCTGAGGGCTCAGGTTCTCAAGAGCCATTTCTGGCACTCCTCTGCTACTACTAGCAACAGGCAACAGCACCCACTCATGCATTGCTGCATCACCGGCTTTTGCCTCCATTTCTGTCTGGCCTACTTCAAGCCAAGAATTCTTCTCAAGAGCAACAGCTGAGGCTAATGAAAGCTAGCTAGGGATGTACGTATGTTGTATGCATAATGCATTTCAGCTAACGTGAGTCCTGATCCTGAACACGATGACCATGTTGCAGAAGCACGTACGCACTCCATTATAAAGCAAGGCATGCAGATGAGACGACTCGAGAGACATGTGAAGAGAAAGATCAGCGTGCAAAAGCAGTTAAGACAAGAGAGAGAGATATCTTCTTTTGATAACTCTCTTTTTACCCAATGCTTCTTTTCAGTAGCTTTTCTTTTTTATTTCTTTTACCTGCCGTACCTTGAAGGGCTCCTCGGTTCCTCGCACCCAAAATCCCAGATCTCGCAGGGTGGAAGTGGCTGTGGCAGCACGAGCGGCATCCCTCTGCCACTGCCATCCGCCGAGGCCGTCGGTTGTCCTCCTGCTGCTGCCCATGGGAATCGTTCGCGTGTAATCATCGCCGCAGCGCCGGGTGCCAGGAGCCCCCATGTCACTGTTCCCCTGCATGCTTTCGTGCGTGGCCGTGGCTTCAGCTTCTGGCCCTGCCTCTGCCCTGTTCATCCAAGCAGGCAAAAGATGGCATGGCAAAGGTGTTTGTTTGAGTGTGTGCCAAAGGTTAGGGATTTTTATCATTCTGTTGGAATGGTAGAGATGAATAAAAGCGGCAGCAGAGGTGGAAAAAAAAACCTTTTCATGGGTGGGCAGATGAATTCCTTGGGGCCTCCCTCATCAATGGCGAATGAATGCTTCAGATGTCCTAGCCGTGGTTGCACCTCTAATGGTAACATGAAAAAGGAAAGAGGTGATAAGTAAAGGTGGTTTGGCTTTCCATTAACAGCATTCGTCTGCAGAATTAGGGCACTAAAAAGTGGTTTGGCTTTCCAGTTTGCATTTAGCACCACACATGTGCAAGTGCAAGACAACAGAACACATGCATGCATGGCACGTGCCGAGCAATCTTGCAACTAATAATGATTGATGTTTAGTAGTATTATATCAGGATGGTCTGTCTTTAGCTAAGGATCTTAATCCCAAATCCCAAGAAGAGGCTCCATCACTGGGAGAAACTAAGATGATTGCTCTAAATAGAAATTGAGCTGGGAGTAAGATCAGAAGGAACAAATAAAGACAAAGGCAGTATCTCTCTCACCTCTCTTTCTAATGTCATGTCCTGAACTTCTGTACATCTGTTATACCGAGAGCAAAAGGAACCGAGTTAGAATAACGTAAATGCACATTAATTCTTAGCCATATGTTTTTTTAATAATGGAAAAAGTTTTCGGCCTCTGCAACTCACACAGCCAATTTCTTACAAAATGTTCAGCTAATTAGCTGAAAAAAAAGGAACAAGAACACAAGTAGACGAAGGTAATCTATAAGCAAAGTGTATAACAAGAACTCATGATCATGATTATATTCGTGCAATCGTGCGTATCATCATGATATGTAGTACTGAGTTAAGATGAGAAGAAACTAACTGACCTGAAGGTGGCTCTTGACATGAGCAATGGTAAGCCCTCTGACATCCATGAGCTGAAGAATTAGCTTAGGAGTAGCTTCTGCATGCAGTCAGCATGGATCGCCAAGAGCGCACATGAACGAGGCCATTTTGGGCGAGGAAAGAAAGATTATATATATATATATATATATATATATATATATATATAACGTATCCACACCATGAATGAATGAAGAGCACCAAACCAAAGACATGTATGTATGCATGCTAGCGTGAGAACTGAGAACACAGACAGAAGTGAACGTACTGTCCTGGCCACCGAGGCAGTCGACGGCTCGGACGAAGTTCCGATGGAGCTCGCTGGTCCACCTGAGCCTGGGCACCTTGGACCTGTTGTACCGCCTCGTCGCCACCCCGTTCCTCCCACCGCCGGCGCCACCCATCTTCCTCACGCTCGGCTGCTGGCAGCCTCTTCTCGACCTGCTTCTTCCTTATCGTCAGTCGCCTGGCCTCTCTCCCCCGGTGCCACCGAGTGGTAGCGGTAGCGCGCTGGCGGCCAGCCTCGGTCGCTGCATGCGCTGCTAGATAGCTCCTGTTCTCCACTGCATCGCTCTCCTCCGCCCGGGCTTGCGGCCGGCCGGGTTGCTTGTCTATATATCATTGGGCGTTCAGGGCGTGTCTACCCTCTAGACTGTAGATTATAACAGGACCAGCGGCTAGCGGAGCAGGCGGTCCATCGGCTCCCAAGTGAATACTGAACAGTGATCCCACGCGTCACGAGAGATGGCCATCATTAGCAGGATTCATTGAGTTTCAGGGGTATCGCAGAAGAGTGAGCTACGGTGGACAGTGGTGTTGCAAGCTAAGCTAGCAATGCCACCTACCTAGTTGCAACATTGATTGCTTGTTGTATGACAATGATACCTACGTACTACTCCTACAAGCAAGTAGGACGACGACGAACTCGAATCCTGTCGTGTCTCGTTCGAAACAAACGGCACGCTGCAGGGTCTTTTACTCGATTCCGTCGCAGCATTTTCTCAGCTCAGTGTACATGCCGCTATCACAGTCACAGGTCACAGGCGGCACGTTCCTCCTGCACATTCTTTGGCCAGCTCTGCCAAGCTACTACTACTGTCTACATATCCATTTTCAGCTGCAGTAAGGCAGAAAGAAAAGAAGCGTTCTTTTCGTTTAGCTTATAAGTCATATTTTTTCAGCCAACGAATATTATTTTTCTCTCGCAACAAATCAGTCAACAATACTGAACGGCTAGCTGTGCACCAGACCGCCAGTGCAAGGGGCAATGGCAGCGCGAGCATCCAGCTGAGCTGAGGCACCCACGCATCCTACACCTCTACAGCTTTGCCAGGAATTTGAACGTTGCGCACTTGCACTTGCATAAAAAGTGCACACGCCGGCGAAAAGAAGACATATATATTGCCTTCTAGGCGTCAGGTCAGGTGTTGTTCATAGCATAGCCTAATGGTAGCTCCAAGCCTCCAAGTTTTCGAAAATCCTGTTGTTTATAACGCGCAGGTCTAGAGCAACAGACGGCTTTTCTTTCTTTTTTCACAAAAAGGTCTAGAGCAATAAATACGAAGGACACACGTCCGTCTCTCGGGGCGGCTCGAGTGGCGACCAAATTTTGCTGCCACTGCAATCCTCATTTGAGCTCGAGACCAAAATAAGAACTTATTTGGTTGGTGTCCTGGGAAGGTTACCTTACCCTAGCAACAATATATCTAACTTGGAGGAAGGGGACTTCTTTGAGTCAGTGGCGGATCCAACAATTAAAACGTGTGGGGCCAGCTAGTAGGAGCTGTGGGGCCAAGCCATATATGCTATAGTGGGGGTCTATTTGCTGCATGAAAACCTGTGGGGTTAGGTGCCCATAGGTTGAATGTGCATCCGTCACTACGTTGAGCACTCATTGGAGATTGTTAAGGAGCTTTAGAGAAATATTGTGAGGGGCATTTGTGCTTATTTTCCGTCGGAGAGACAAAGAGCAATTGGATACCAAGGCTTGTTGGGGTACCTTGTGATTGAGCCGCCTCATAAAAAAGCGCTCACATCAGGGGTCACTGAGCTTGCAGAGGAGCGATGATCCTTGAACTGTGGCCGACAAGCCACAGAACTGCAGGGACATATCTTTGTGTCTCCATTTATGTGGTTCGATCGCTCTCCACTTGTGCTTTATTTGTGCCTTTCAATTCCTATAAGTAGAGATAGTAGGACTTGTCATCCAAGGGCTTTTGCCTAATTAGCTTTACAGTTCCTAAAAACCTTATTTAGTTGCTTCACTTGATATCTAGGATTGTGTAGCTAATCACCCTAGGCTTGCTAGACTAAGTTAGTAGTAGTATTTATTAGGGCCATCTTTGTTACTAACTAGTTTGCCTAAGTGTTCTTGTTCGTAGAAAACTTTAAATTAGGCTCCTTCTAGCCATCAGAGATCCTTTCAGAGTCCAAAAGTTGTAACTTGCCTAGACACATACTCTATTTATAGCCCATCTCAACAATTTAGCCATTGCCACCTTATACAACTTTCATGTGGGCACCAGAGAGCTCCGGTGGGGGTCACCTAAGACCACCACCGGAGAGCTCCCAACGGTCATTGACAATGTAAAAAAACTAGTAATTACAATGTTAAAAAAGCTTCAGTGTCTCCTCTCTGATGATCACGAAAGACACCCTCTCTGGAAAAACGTGCTCTGGTGCATGTTTTGAACTTCCCACACGCTTGTCCCCACATTGTCACTAGAGTTGAGAAGTCCAAGCATGCATGGCCATAGAAATCAAACTAGTTTGGTGGTGAAAGAAATGAAATGGCAACCATGACATGGAGGGGAGGATGTGGAGGCAGCTGTGGTATATGGTTAGAGGATGTGGAGGAGGCGAAAAGAGGATGAGGTGGTGGATTAGCACTAGTACTAATGTTTGTTTGGCCGGAACGGCCGACTGATGGAGATTGTCGTTTTGCATAAGATTGTGTATAAAGGCATGCTGCATTAAAGAACTTGTCATATTAGTGTTATGTGTTAGAGCAAGTACTCCCTCCATACTGGTAAAGAAAGTCGTTTAGGACATGTTTTAGCATACCAAGGAGTGATTAATTAAGGGGTATTTTCCCCTGTTTGCCCTTATTAAATAGGGTTGCGGGTATCGCCTATCCAACAAACTTTCGTAGTTGGACTGGTAAGCGCGCTACAGCCCGAGGCAGGAGGTCCCCGGTTCGATCCCTCTCAGGCGCGTTATTTTTTTAAGAGCTCGTGGATTCGCATGGCGCTGTGGCGAGTTGCATGGCACTGTGCGGCTGTATGGTGTTTTTTTGCCGTTTCGCCGTGTATTTTTGCCGGTTGCTCACGTTTGGGCGCGTATTTTTGCCGGTTTCTCACGTTTGGGCGCGTATATTTGCCAGTCTCTCACTGGCACAACGCGTATTTTGCCGTTCGCTCGTGTTGGCGTCCGACGTTTGGGTTGCTAGCTTCTTCTATTTAAGCGCCACAACACTAACTCACTAAGCCACCACTTCTCTTGTTCATCTACCGTGCAACAAACTTTTCCACATGGCCGATTTATTTGCTGGGATCGATCTCAACGTGCGTCCATTGGAACATGGCAATGGTGATGCTGGGTTCGATCTCAACAAGCCTCCGCTGGAACATGGCAACGGTATTACATCTCTTATTAGTTTTTAATATATTTAGTCATCTCTCATATCATCATTTTCTTGTCGATAGGATTTGATTTGAACCTGCCACTAGACGAATATGGTGCGATTAATTTTGATTTTGAAGAAAACCTCACTGGTAAGATAAATTTCTTTTGATATGACTCAATGCTGGTAATCAAAATCGTTGGTTTGAATTTGCTTGTTTTTTTTTGCAACTAGAAGATGCTAATGAGGCTCCCGTTGAAGCCAATGGACGAAGGAAGGCCAAAGACATGACAGAAGAACTCAAAAAATAAGTGTATCAAGCTTTGTTGGCTAGAAGCAAGAATGGGAAACTAGGCAAGTGTGATACGAGAGTTGTTGCTAAACAATTTGGACTTCACATTCACGTTGTTCAGCGCTTATGGCAGCGAGGTAAAATCCCCCTTGCTCAATCCATTCCGGTTAATGTTGCTAGTCAAAAGAAGGGTAGAGTAGGCCGCAAGGCAATCCCTGTTCATTTGGAACCATTGCGCAACATTCCTCTCAAAGAAAGAATGACTATAGAAGATGTCAGTACGAAACTAAACATTAGCAAATGGAAGCTACAAAGATACTTGAAAAAAGGTCTTCTTAGGCGCCACTCAAATAACATCAAGCCACACCTGACAGATGCTAACAAGAAGTTTCGGTTACAGTGGTGTGTTGACATGATTGATCAGGGTAGCTTGCATGATGAACCAAAATTTAAGGGATTTTTTAACCATGTGTTCATCGATGAAAAATGTTTTTTCCTCACTCAAAAATCAGAGAAGTACTACTTGCTACCCGAGGAAGATGGTCCCCATCGCACTTGTAAGAGCAAGAATTACATTCCTAGGCTCATGTTTTTGTGTGTTTGTGCTCGGCCAAGGTTTAAGAATGGAGTGTGCATTTTTTATGTGAAAATTGGTTGTTTTCCACTTGTTACTTATGAAAATGCTAAAAGAGACGGTAGAAATCGTCTAGCTGGTACCCAAGTTGTCAAGCCCATAACTTCAATCACAAGAGATGTGATTAGAGACTTCATGGTTCACAAAGTGTTGCCTGCCATTCGAGCCAAATGGCCACGTAAAGATGTGAACCAACCAATTTACATTCAGCAGGATAATGCACCTTCTCATTTAGAAGTGAATGATCCGGTTTTTTTTGAGGCTGCTAAGCAAGAAGGATATGACATTCGCCTAATTTGTCAACCACCTAATTCTCCGGATTTCAACTTTTTAGACTTGGGGTTTTTTCGAGCTATTCAATCTATTCAATACAAGAAGCAAGCAAAAACTGTGGAAGGTCTAATTCCAACAGTGCAAGAGGTAAATTGATCACTTGTTCACTTGTTTAATTTCATTGTTTCTTCAACAACAGATCTATTCATTTTTTGATTTTTTTTCAACACATGTAGGCATTCCAAGAGCATTGTCCACACAAAGCAAACATGATTTATTTAACACTTCAGAGTGTTTTGAAGGAAACCATGAAGGTTAGAGGATGTAACAAGTTCAAGATTCCTCACATGAAAAAGGGAACACTAGAGAAAGAAGGCCGGCTGCCATTGCAAATTTCTTGTGAGGTGTCGTTGTTAGCTGATGCCATTGCTAGTCTTCCTGCAGCAAACAATTAGACGTGTAAGCTTAGGCAGCAATTTAGGAGCCGTGTTTGCTTGAATGAATGAGACATGTAACCTTGCCGATTACCTCGCTGTTATTTCTTTGCGTCTTACTTCTTCTTCTTGAGCTCGTCCAGCTTCTT